TAGTAGTAGTAGTAGTGGTAGTGGTAGTAGTAGTAGTTGTAGTAGTAGTAGTAGCAGTAGTAGTAGTAGTAGTAGTAGCAGTAGTAGTAGTAGGAGTAGCAGCAGCAGCAGCAGCATCAGGAGTAGTAGTAGTAGTAGTAGTAGTAGTAGTAGTAGTAGTAGTAGAGTAGTAGAGTAGTAGAATTACTATTGTTATTATCACTATCATTCGTAGTAGCAGAGCTTGCGCACAGCCTGAAGGCGGGCAGTGCTGGACCTGGCACGGGCTCTGGGGGCTCTGTGCACATCATTGCCGGGTGGAGGCCTCAAGGACAAGGCAGAGGCATACTTAGAAGGTTGTTGCAGGAGCTCGGAGCTTGAGATTTTGTCAATCAGGCCCACTGGCTTCGTGCCAGCCGGAGAGGGATACGAGGTTGACTTCGAGGCTACCGAGCAGTGCAACGATTGGATTTCGGGCATGCAGGAGTGTATGTTGATGGATGAGCAAAGACTCACCGAGAAAATCGTAAACGCATGTCTGCAGTACTATATACGCTGCAGCTGCAGAGGTCGCCGCCCCACTAGCACAGAAAGCGGTGTCTTCCGGCTACAAGCCCGTGTGGGGATGAGTATCTTGGCATCATCACAGGCTGCTTGCCTGCAGATGAAGACTCTTTGGATCTTGAGGTGCGGACTTGGCTCCCAGGAATCGGCCACTTACGATATGTTTCACAGATGCTTCTGCAAACTCGCCGTAGTAGTGTGTCAGTAGTGTTTCCTCAGTGTCTTGAATGTAAGTTCCCAGCAAAGAGTTGTGGTAGTGCAGACGCCCTTGGCAGCTTCAGAAGCATCCTGCCTCGGGAGCATCGTCCGGCCGTGGACCGGGATCTGCGGTGCGCGGAAACATGCAGATCGTGTGGAGATAAGACTTGCCAGAATTTGAGTTGATGCCTGGGTTCGGAGCAATTTGCTGCTTGCAAAGGTCATGTGCAGACATGATAGCTAAGACATTGCAGCATTCAGATTTTCTGACAGCACAGACAGGCCCTTGCCCTGTCGAAGTTGCGGATGTGCCCCTGACATCGCAAGTTCTCGATAGTCCTCTTGAGCGATCGTCCGTAATGGCTTCAGTGGCTGTGACCTTCAATGTAGATTGCTCCTGCACAGACCATGGCCTGGACCCCAGCGGGCACAAGCAGTGCTACAGCCGGCTGTCAAAGGGTGCTTCAGCTTTCTTTAGCACTCGGATTGCGCAAGGTGAGGAAGTCTTTCTCGTCGGCTCTCACAAGAAACTGGGAGCTTGGGACCCCACCGAGGCAGCTTGTGGAGTTCTTCTAAGTCCAAGCCTGTGCAGCGAAACCCGGTAGGATCAGAGTGTCCTTTAGTTGGACAGGCTCTTCCCTGCACCACGTCTGCCGCGACGTTTCCACGGTGGATGTCCAAAGCTGCCAAACTGCCAAACGGAAGCAGGACCGGCTGGGACTGGACGCTGTTGAGGGTCTTGGATTGTCGGAGGGCTCGTCGCAGCTGGCAGACAATGCTGCCAATTAAGTACGGTCTGTGGATGGATGCGAAGTTCGTGCAACTCCCTGTCTCAATGAATGCTTCATCATGTACGAGTTGCTTCAAATCCACTTCACTACCACGCAAGTCTGTGCCTTTGGAGCATTGTTGGAGTTTAACCAGGATTGAGTTCAAGGTGGTGATCCGCGGCCCCCGTGGAAACCGCTGGGAGCACGGGGAGAATCGACTCCTTCAGGCACGCATGGGACCACAACAGCTGTAGGGCTTTGTGCAGAGGTTGCGCATCGTTGTGCTTGACCCGAGTCAGAATCGGGATGCTTCTTCCATCGCCGTGTGATGCTACTGCTAATGTACAGCCAGTCATCTGCACGCCTCAGGTGGAGCTGCCGCTGGCTGCGGAGGACTGGTCCATGTTGTTAAGCTCGCACCGCAGTGAGATTGGACGACTGCGGTGGACAAAGGCAAAGAAGATCGTGAGCCTGACCTGGGGAGAAACCGGCGTCAAGGTGCGAGCAAACCAGCGAACGGAGCACATGTAGCATGCTTTGCCGCGGAACAATGAAGGATGCCGAAGATGAAGATATTGTCGGAGCTTTGCCGACTGCCGGCGAGTTCGTTCGGGCCTTTGCTTGTAATCCTCGTTCCAGAGATTCAAGTTAACGAAAGCAAAGCCCCAGTGGTAACAAGAGTGTAGTGTTACAACCCCCGGTTCTGTTGCGGGTGGGTAGCCGCCAGATCACATATATGGTCAGGCGCTCCGCGCCTCCCCCCCCGTCCATGGTCCGCCCCCCCTCTCTGTGGGTGGGGTGTGGGGTCCCTCTTTCCCCTGTGGTGTGGTTGTGGGGTTTAGCGTTTAGCTTAAGCTGTTGAGTTTGGGGTTTAGGGTTTAGTGTTAAAAAGCATTATAAGGCCTCGAGTCGACTAGGGAGGGTTCTGCTTCAAGCTTAGAGACTGCATTTAGGCGGGGTTTAGGGTTGGCCCTGCGTTATAGGTTTATGGCTTGCATAGGGCTTGCGTAAGATCCCGGCGGCCGCCACCCAGCAGCACCCACCCAACCGCCTGGACCCCTCTCTGCACACGCCAGCCACCCGCCCACCCCCACGAGACCATCCCGGGGGGGGGGGGGTTGGGAACGCCAGACGCCTGACCATATAGGTGAAATCAGGGCTAAATAAGAGTATCTGAAGGATACAACACAAGTGTAAAACAATTGAAAGCCTCAAACGTGTACAAACATGACCAGCATACATCCGCAAACCGTGATAGAGCCACGACCGCCACAACCAAGACGACCAGGACGACCAGGACGACCAGGACGACCAGGACCAACAGGACAACCACAACGAACCCGGGAAAACGCGACAAGACCACCAGGGAGAGGCCACTCCCAAAGACCAGCAGACCACCAACCACCACGACACCACCAGATGTACTGGCGGGATTCGGCGGTCTGTAGGTATCATTACGACGAAGCTGCCCACCTTGTCCGGCGCGTTTCCATGGCTTTTCCCTCATGTGCTGACCTGCGTTCTGCAGATTCCTGCGTAGTGCTTTCTAGCCTTTTCTGGCGGGTTTCGAGTGTTTTCAGGGCACCATGGCCAAAATGTTTCCACAGATGTTCCCGCCTTGTCCGGTGATATTCGAGTGTCTTCAGCACAAAAAATGAAATGCTTCATCCATTTCCCTCTTGAAGCCACCCATTTATCCCTTGCCGGTGGGGTTCGAGCGTTTCAGGAGACCACGGCAAGATCGTTCCTGCGCGTAGGGGCACGATTCAGCATTCCCGGAACACTCTGACCGCAACGCTCCCTTCGCCTTGTCTAGTGGGTTTGAAGCGTTTTGAAAGCACCACGGCCGAAATGCTTCGTTTCCGTGTACGCGCACGGGGATCACAGACTATTGGTTGTGTGCCTCGCGCACATCCGCACCCCTCGCGTGGACAGTAATGTTCACTTGATATTCAGAAACACCACCCCTCCCCAAGGATGTGAGCCCCAGCCTCTGGAATAAGAGTCCCCAGGAGCCTTAAAGCCTGCCGCCAGTTCTAGAGGCCCCAAAAGCCTTCTAGCGTGACGCACTGAAGCCAAGCTAGAGTTCGAATCTGGGCTTGCTTGGACCAGGGGGTCTTCTTTCAGCTCAGATGAGCGTTTATCTAAGCAAGATTCTGGTTACATATTTTCTGCACCGGCCGCTTGGATTCTAAAAGCACGCGGCGGTTGCAAATTGCGTTCTGGGAATTGGATTTTGCATTTTCACGGGTGTTTCTTAATATGAGATTGACATGAACCAGTTCTCTTTGTTCGCATTTAAGAACCCCTCATATTACAAATGGGTTTCTTAATATATTAACCAATTCTCTTTGTTCGGAACGTAAGAACCTCATAGTGTGTGTCTGCAAGCGAAATTTGCAAACTTGCATGCTTGCAGGTTTTCGCTACCCCAGCTCCATCACGCTGGATTCTGGAACAGTTTGGTTTTTTCCAGCGAGACAGTGAAAACTGTGACAAATGCATGAAGCACTTTTAGAATGGCTTCATCATTATACACTTCTGCACTCGCTCTACCCGCGCCATTTACGTGTTAATTCCACTTTAGCACGCTTTGCACCATGATGGCAGGCCCGGCTAGTATTTACAGTGTGATTTGAAGCATCTTCTGAGCTGAACGGCGGACTTTTTAAGTGCAGTGAGAGCTTCAATTTTTTGGACTGAGTTCCGACGCACCAGCTCGCCCGGTGGTGACGGGCCCTTGTCGAAGCCGCTGGGCCGCAAGATAGCTGCTGGCGCTTGGGCAGTTTCGCAGTTTCCAGTGCTAGTGCGAAGCTTTCCAAGAATCATGGAGCCGGGGACGGCGATGCAAAAGCGTGGCAGCCGACACCTTTGTCGCAACAACGACGGACAAGTCAACCAGGAGATGACCAGGACAGAGTGGGCCAAAACAGGGACGCCGGACGCATAATCAACAAACAAAGCTTTGGCTGATCACAAGCATGATGCCCAGAGATCATGGTGCTAATTGGGGTGGTGTAAGTCAACTGACTGGAAAGGTGGCACTCATTGTGTTTACGGTAATTATCGTCAGAATGCATGCGCAACAGTATTGTCAGTAATATAATCAGATATTGTGGTAGACGAAGGTGACGATAGAGTGACAATGATGTTGGCGATGATGACATGCCATTTTGATCTGTGGTGGTGATGATGATATGTGATGATGAACCTCGTACGGTGAAGACAAGCCACGATATTTTCATGATGCATCGGTGCAATTTCGTTGTAGAGCGCTTTTGTTAACCATTGCAGGTCGGCTTGTTAGCGGAGTCCGAGGACGAAACTTTTGGCGGAGCTTTGCTCGGGCTTCCTGGCTGGCCTGTCATCGGCTGCATTTCCAATCTTAAAACTCCTTGGCGTAACTTTGTTGGTGCGCATGTGCATCCACCTCGGCCTCAATTCAATCCAGCCAATCCAGCCTTGTGTTTCCCAGGGAGATCCAACTTCGCCATAAGAATGTTTCCAAGCTGAGCCTTCTCCCCCTTCATTTGAAGGGTGTGTGTGTGTGTGTGATGGAGCTAGAGTGGATGGAGTCATTGACGAATGACTCTGTTTTTGCGGAAAGGCAACGAAGCGCCATGGGCGTCGGATCGTAGCGTGGGCTCTGCATCTAATTTCGTTCTTCCTGAAGCCAGCCAGTTTCTCGGTCATGACTCTCATATGACATGCATTCTGACGAAGATATCGATGGTGCTGATGGTGGTGGTGGTGGTCGAGGTGGTAGTGGCGATGACAGTCATGTTAGCGAGAACGACAACACGACAAGGATGAGGATCTTGATCGTGGTGGTGGTGGTGGTTATGCTGATGCCACGCACATCTGCTCGAATGCAGGACGCCCAGTTTACTATTGATCAATTTCGAGAAGTTCAACGAGGAAGCGGCACGTCACGAGAAGGACCGGGTGCCGACTGCAACACGTGCCGAGTTTCATTCTCGATATCTGCTTGCCGTAGGAGCTCGATGCCATCGAAGAACGTGCACAATTGAACAGGACCGATGTGCAGAGCAGTTCGTTGCGGGTCAGCGTTCAAAGCGGTGGTGCCAAAACGCCAAAAGTCATGTCGCCAGGCTCCAGAGGAAGATGAAGAGCACGCATCTGATCGAAACTTGCCGCATGGTGGTCACCATCAACTACTCAGCAGTTTTGAATATGAAGGGTGCTTTGGTTAGGCGCTAGATTTGGTCAGTCACACAACCATGCTGGACCATGCTTGTTAGCTACTAGAAAAGATGATTAATGTACCTCCGTTTATCTGTCCACCTACGTTTCCTAAGAGTGTGTGTGTGTGTGTGTGTTTGAGTGTGGGTGTGTGTATGAATGTATTGCATGTGCGTGTTTCCGTACATGCACACGGTGGTACCAATACATGTGTAGCAGACGCACAGTCTCTCCAACTCAGGAGCGGATGGCTAAGATCACAGAAGCTTGCCTTCGATTGTGACTACTTGTTCGGGGCTCCTCTGCGAGTTCTTTAACAGCCATTCGTGGGCTGTAATGGGGCTTTGCGGGATGGCTGTGTGGTACAAATACAGGTGCACTCAACAGAGCGGCCGATGTTCTGAGGATACTGTGGATTCCTCTAAGATGGTCCTTCTGCAAGGTGCGAGGCTAAGCGGCATATCTGCGCTCATGTGTCACGGGCATGCCCAGATCCTGCAGGCTTCAACTGGGAGAGCTGGCGCTCTGGTGGAGGTGACTGGTACAGTGCTTCTTGGCTCATCGATGACTATGCTGTGCATGTTGTGGAGTGAACTTACTTTGGTCATGTCAGTCGGTTTTTGCAGTGCCAAGGTCATTGGAAAAAGGATTCAGATGTTGCATGACATGGGCTTCACAGATCTCTGGTTGCCGCCGTGCTCGCAGTCCGTGGCGCCACAGGCAGTTCTTACGCGGTTGCGGAATGGTGAATGCGTTCACCGCGCGTCACCGTGCACAGGGGTAGGCGTAGGCAGGTAACTTACCCAAAACGGCATAGTTCGGCTCTGACCTCACCTGCCTGCTGAAAACACCCAAGTCGCCGGAGGGCTACCTTCCATCTCAGCTCTTCAACCTGGATGGGTCCAAGTACGGTTCCCAAGCAGCACTGGAAACCTTGCTGGAGAAGTGCCACAAGCACGGCATTCGCTGCCTGGCCGACATCGTCATCAACCACAGGCCGAGCCATGAGCCCTGGAGCCTGGGGATCCTCAGGTTCTCTCTCCGGCACCCTAGGCCCTAGACGTTCCCTGAGAGGTGCGGGGACAAGCAGGACAGCCAGGGCCGATGGAACCAGTTCTCCAGTGGGATGACGACCAGGCTTCATGGATTTCCTATCACCACGGGTCACCAGTGGTCACTGTAGCCACAAAGTCGAGAGCACAGCATGCATGAGTTTGCGAAAACGGCAAGAACAATGACATTCCTGCTGGCAATAGGATTTTTTTGGTGCCTGAAACCTCATCTGAATCATATCTTGTCATTGACATCTATCTTCCTTACCGTTAGGCGTCAAGGCAAGAAAAGGTCGGCGTGCGGGTCTGTTCGCAAAATTTTACTCGCCGGCGAGGCCGAGCTTCGCAGGCGTCGGTGATTGGGGTGGCTGGGCCATCACCCTTGGGGACCAGTACTCCGACGGGAGCGGACTCGTGGACCGAATTAGCGTCGGCGCCATGATGTTTGCTTGTTCTGCTGGGGGTTTTACAGGTTGGGGTGCTCTAAGCGGCGGCCCGCCGACGGCCTAAGGAATGCACGCGCCCGACAAGGCTGACGGAAAGTTCGATGCCGCGCCGGACATCGACCACCGGAACCCGAAGGCGCTCGGGAACCATTCCTGGGAGCTCGCTTAACGAATCGCTGGCAATGTGTTATGTTTTGCTTACTCTGCCAGGTCCAGGACAGCATCAACATCTGGCTGAGATGGCTTCGACTCCAGGCCAAGAGTACATTGGAAACAGGAGGCGCTTGCTGGAGTCGCGGGTGCCTCTTGCAGGTTGGTTTCGATGGATGGCGCTTCGACTTCGTCAAAGGCTATGGTGCTGAGTTCGTTGGCACCTGGGATGCGGTGGTATTTTGCAATCTGGATCTCATTGACTGTGGGCTAGCCAGTGAGCCGACCAACTCCTGCTCTGTGCTTCAATTGATGACCCAGGCCGCTACTGCTCGAAGAGCCATCCCGCCTGGGCTGTAGGGGAACTCTGGACGGACATGCACTACGACCACCATGGGCTCTGTGTGCGGCTGAGACACTTAATTCCATACCCTTCAGTGGAGGGTTGAGTGGGTTTTTGCTCCCTCGAACAATGACCCCTCCCCTGCGGGACGTGTTGTTGTTCGGGGACCCCAACTGGTAGTTGTAGTAGTGGCAGGTAGTAGTAGTGGCAGCAGTAGTAGTGGTAGTAGTAGTAGTGGTAATTAGTAGTAGTCGTCGTCGTCGTAGAAGTAGTAGTAGCAGTAGCAGTAGCAGCAGCACTGGCAGTGCAGTAGAACCAACAAAAGCACTTGTAGTAGCACTAGTCGTGGTAGTAGTAGCAGTAGCAGTAGCAGTAGCAGTAGGAGTAGTAGTCGTAGTCGTAGTCGTCGTCGTAGTCGTAGTCGTAGTCGTAGTCGTAGTCGTAGTCGTAGTCGTAGTAGAAATAGAAGTAGTAGTAGTAGTAGTAGTAGTAGTAGTAGTAGTAGTAGTAGTAGCTGCTATGTGTGCCCCCCTGCGTTTTTTGGGCGGGACGGGGCTAGAGCCACAAAGAGTCGATCATGATGCTGTTTTCAGGTTCACACCGTTATTTACAGTGGATTCGCTGTTCGTAAAGTACCAGAACGAGTCATTTCTCTGGTCTTGATGTTTGTTAAAACATGATCTTCATAACCATCATCCTCGCCATCTTCAACATCATCGTTAACCTGACCATCTTCATCATCATCCTCATAATCATCATCCTTATCATCATCATCATCAGCATCATCATCATCATAAACCCAAGTAGTTTTTTTGGTAGTTGGCTTAACTACAATTTCTCAAAACTCTGAAAAAACCCAGCATTTTACACCCTCGAACCACTGAAAACAACCAGGCGCCAGGAGGCG